CTCCGTGATCTTGCATTTCGCTTGTACTAGTGCCCCATGTTGCCCCTTGGCGTGGTGATATTAGGCCCGGGGCTAATAGCATACCCCGCCGGCGGGATATGTTAAACGGCCATATCGGTCCTAACTATTCGAAATATTGCTGGTTTGCTCTAGCACAATATTAGGCACCTGCCACTGCAAGCGAGTTGTGGTCCACAACCCGCTTAGGATTCCTAGGATATGTCTCGTATCATGCATAGGTTTATTCAGCGAATGCCCATGCAGCCACGTGGCGATGCGCGACAAGTACGGCCGCTGGATCTCGTTCCGGCCCCTCATCTCGCTCGGCGGGCTTGACTAGAGGCTAGCTCGGCCCCATCGAGGCCGTTTTGCGGTACCCTAAACGTCTTTTTAATGGGGCGGCGACAGGGCCGGCACTCGCGTCCGGGGGTCGCCTTCCGCGACGCCCCAATAGCGCCGATTCGGCCAGCGGACTCGTAGGGTAGTCCGTGGGGGCTGCTGGGGTCATGCGCCGAGGTGGCCGGCTCGGAATCGAGGCCATGGCGTCGCCGCGCGCGCGCGAATGCGAGCTTCCCATTGGTCGATTCGAACTGAGCTGATGTGGCACTCGACTCGGCGCCGGCGCTCGTCCTCCGAGAGGCAGCCCCTCGCGCCGAGCTGGTCGTGGAGCGCGACGCCTGGGGCCTAGGTGGCGGCGGTGGACACCTCGTACCCATGGGTGACTCCTCCCTGCGACGCGGCTAACTGGCACCACGCGCAGCCGAGCGGCAAGTACCACGCTCTAGTATGTCGGCGAGCACAGCGCCGCGCCATGGACCGCGCCGTGACCGGAGCCATTCGCGCGGCGGCCTCGAACGACTGGCATGGCGCACAGCGTCACGGCGCGGACGGCGCGGACGCGGCACGGGGTCATTTTTTTTGTTCCAACGAGTGATCTCACGGATAAAATAAGATCTCCGATGCTGGGAGAGGTCGACAGAGAGATACGACCCCGACTCCGCGGACAACGAGGCCGGGCGCTGCGCACCGTGGCCCGAGTGCGTGACCGCGCCGCGGGTCCCATCCAAGTTCCCCTGCATTTTGCGTTCCTTTTAGGCCCCCCCAGCCCCTACGGCCCTAATGGAGCGGCCTACCCCGCCTCGGGGTCGCTCTGGTGCTTTTTGGAGTCCAGCTGGCTGGACTTGTCGTGCTTCGCCACCCACTGAGATCGTTGCGTATCTCCGCGTATTCGCTGAGCGGCGCGGGTGCAAAGCCTCTCATAAACCATCACGCAGCCCACATCCAGCGCCCGGGGGTCACCAACGGTTCGCCCTCCGAGTCGTCCGGCTCGGATGGACGTGCGCTCGTCCGACGGCCGTGCGCTCGTCCGACGGCCGAGTCCTCGTCCGAGGGCGCCGATTTCGCCGTCCGAGGGCCCGAGAGCGCCGGCCGAGGGGGGGGGGGGGGCTCGTCCCGAGGGTGCCGAAACGGCCGAGGGCGCCACTTACCCCCCTCAAAGGGGGTAGCCTAGCTAAATCCCTTTACATCCTGGCTGATATATCCTGGCGGCTATATCCAAGGCCGAAAACAAAATCTGAAAACGAATACTCTGGGGTGATATTTCCCTTCAAGTCAGCGTTTTGTTGAACATTTAATTACGACTTCCGACCCGAACCGGCGACCCCACACCCTTGAAATCCCTCAATCGATACGATTAGCGCGCTATCCCGATGGGCCGGCTTGGCGGGGGCATAATTCAACAATTTTGCCACGATTTCCGTCCGGTGGTCGCGCGCGGTCGACGGAGGACCTCTATGACATACTACGGCCGGCGGCCAGAAAGAATAAATAAATACTTCTATGGGGCGCTCTAGCCCTATGGTTGTTTTCGGCCTTGGCTATATCACCTGCACTTGATAACTTTTAACTTTTATTACCGAAGTGAAAATCAGAAAAGTCACAATGGTTCATACCGGCATGGAGTGTGTCGGGGCGGCATACCCACTATTGAACCAAATGATGCTCCCTGACGAGGAGAAACAGAAAAGAGGGATTCCGCCAACGGAATGGCACTTGTTTTCATCAAAGCTCGTCCGCAACCCGAATGTGCCAAAGAATGCCGTGGCTCACATCAAGCCAAAGAATTTCAGCTATTTCGCAGAAGCTCGGCGGGAACTGATGTCAGACGACAAAAGTCGGGCCAGGGCGGACATTTATGTTGACGGCGAGGAGCCACCACCAGCGCATCATACGCAATTCACGAGCTCAATTGGTGTGCTTTCAGGTTCGGTGGATCAGCAATGGTTCAATCTGTGCGAAAGGAAGGCCCATCGGGACTGAAGTCATTTTGGGTCAGGCAGATCATGCCTTTGACAGCGCCGCAGAACGACCGCTACGAGGAGCTCTGCGGTTGCGTGTTGATCACAGGCGGGGCCGGTGGCTTGGGCAAGTTATTGCGCGAGTACTTGCTGGAATATTACCCGGAGTGTTCCGTGGCGATTGCGTCCCGTTCGGTCAAGGAGGGAGACGAGGGTATCGAGCGATTGTCGCAATACAAGTGTGACGTATGCAACGAATCAGAGGTGAAAAGAGTTTGCGATTCCATTCCTGATCTTGTTGGGGTGATTCACGCTGCCGGTGTAACATACGGCGGCCCGTTCAAAATGACGAATGAGAATGACTCAAAGCTTCTCTTTGATATTAAATACTGGGGCACAAGGTACCTGTACAACGCCACCAAGTCTCGCAAGCTTCGTTTCTTCTGGATGGCTTCGTCCATCTCCGCCGCAGTTGGAGATTTCAACATAAGCCACTACGCGGCTGCGAATTCTTCGATGGATTGGTTTGCAGAAGAGATGAGACGTCAGGGCGATAAGAATATTGTGTCCACACAATGGGGCGCGCTTGGCTTTGAGGGCGGCATGGCCCTTGAGAACACACGGAAGTTAATGGACAAACGTGGACATGGAGTTGTTACCCCAGAGCAGATGGTCGATGTCATGGAAATTGTCATTCATCAAGCTTCTGATCTACCTGCTGTCATTTGCGTCTCTCCGCTAAATATCGACAAGACAACAGCACAAAAACCTGAACTCAGCGATAACATGACATGGTGGGAAAAGGAACCCTTCGAGGTTTACGTGGCTGTGTTGAAGGCAGCTCAGACTGAGGAGATGGCTCATCCAGAAAGATGGCCCAACATTGAGGAGTTAGAGGCAATATATGGATGCATACCAGGCTACACTACAGCCAAAAAGAATTCAGAGGCAGGAATTTGTCGCTGGTAGGGGCTTCCATTATCAAATCCCCCAACTTGCCGCATACGTCTGCCATCCCCGGTTGCGGGCTGGGACTTTGGGTGCCATTCACCGGGGCTGCGGGTATGTATCTCGCTGCGAAGGAATTAGAGAGTAGCTTGGTAGAACGCCAGCGCACAAGGGCCGGTACGAAGGCGCACGGGGGTTCGACTCCAGAGTCTATCTAGAGACCGGGGGGCAATACCATTCAAACACACATCTTATGTCCGAGGGCGCTCGAGGCAAGGCTCCTGGCCGCCCGATTTTCTTTGCAGCATCCTTGATGCATTTTGGACCTGGGGCGGCGCCCCACGGCCACCCATTCATTCAGGGCTGTGCAAAGAAAATCTGGAGCCAATCGGACAAAAGCTCGTTCTTACTTCGACCTTGAATGGTATTGCCCCCCGGCCCGGGTCTATCTAGAGACAAAAATATGCGAAAAGTGCGAATCCTGGTTATCTGAGCGTAGTAACCGACATACGGGCCCACTATCCTGATGGGCGCTGCTTCTTCACACAGGACACCAGAGGCGCTTCCCCCCAACGGCCTCTCCAGCCCCGTCAACGGCCTCCCAGCGGATAGTCCCCAGGGGCAAGTCCGGCCTCAACGTGGCCAAAGATGCCTATCGCCAGCTGCACCACGCTATGGGGCAGCCCCCTTGCAGTGGCCCGGCCCGCTGCCAGCGGCACTCTAAGTTACACTGCCGAACACACCGGGCCGTGTCATCTGCTTCATCGCAGGATAATCACCTCTTCGAAAGCGACTATCGACATCGACCTTAGCGCGTGGCACCTACACTAATCGGCTGCGTTTAATGGGGTTGGGACCCAAAGATTTCTGATTCTGCCCTCTGGAGCTAGCATGATCACGATTTCGAAACTCTCGGCGCAACTCTATCATATTATGCACCTTCCTGCTATAATACCCTATTAAATCTAAAATGATTTCAGGACGTGATGTGCTGAGAGAATGCACGCTCCGCGGTTTGGTGCTGCGTGCTGATGCGATGCGATTCATCGAGCACTCT